AGGTTCGTTTTTTCAGATTTAACAAATATCATGTGTGGCAGAATATGATACTCCATGAAAAGCCACTATTCGATTAATACCCATCATTTGACATGGCTATTTAAGTTTGGCTAATATCTTTGCATTGTTATTGGTATATATTCATAGTTACCAGTTCAAGTAAAGTTTTTCAAATAAATATTTACTTTCTCTTCATGTTTTAGCTTACTTGTGACAAACTACTTATACCTGTAAATGTGTTAATTGGAAATGCTTTTAACAACACCTCCTTTATTATGTCAATAATGTGTCAGTATATACTAACAGTTGGTAGACTGCAAATAAAATTATGAAATTAAAAAAACTAAATTAGAAAAAGACTTAGGCATATTAATATTTGTTGGTCTAAAATGGCAAGTCAAATGTTGGTCTAAAATGACATAAACAAGTACAGGGCTCCCACACCTCCTTAAAAACCTTAAATATCCTTAAAAAATAAAAACCTCCTTAAATGTCCTTAAATAACCTTAAAAAAAGTTAAAATTTGACTGCTCTCCTTAATTTCTCCTTATTTTTTTTTTTTTTATTTGTCTAGAAAATTTTTTTAAAGTGAATGGATTATACTTGTTAATAAAGAAGATAATATATAGATTCTTGATAGTTTTCAAGCCTATTTTTGTTAATATATATATATATATATATATATATATATATATATATATATATATATATATATATATATATATATATATATATATATATATATATATAAAGTAATAATAATTTCTCTGTTTATATTTAAAATTTATCGAAAAAAATAAGATTATGTTTTTAATGAAATCGTCTTCTCCTTAACTATCCTTACTTTTTCTTTCAAAAAAATGTTATTCGCTACCAAATCTCCTTAAATATTAGGAAAATACCTTCTTAAATCTCCTTAAATTCCTTAATTTTAGCCTTAGTTTTAATAGTGGGAACCCTGAAGTAAAATCAGCAGTTGCTAAAGTAAAAGACTTTAATAAAAAGAACTTTTACTTATTTAAACTCTGAAATAGTGGAAACATCTTGACGCTAGACTTCATCTCAAATTTGCAGTGCCTCTCAATATTAGAACTTGAAAATGTTTAAAGAAGAACAACAAAACTTGGATTGGTTCTAAAATCTGAAACTCATTTCCTTGATAAAAAGCGATGGACCTCCATCAAATACATACATGAACATTAAAGAATCTAACATGAAAAGTAAAAGTGTTCTTTTAGAAATAACTTCTTTAAAAGAATAATTAAAAACTGCAATTTTTTTGCTGGAAAATGTTGTTAAATCGAAGTCTTTAAACTGTTGTGCTAATTTGGCAGTTAAATAAAGACTGTTATACTGTTGATATTTCGATCGATATTGTTAAATTTTTGATGTTACTTAAAGCACAAAGGATATTAATATTATAAAAATAATACTTAAGTTGATTTAAAAATACTTTTTTATTTTACTTTTAGTAGTAGTAGTAGTAGTAGTAGTAGTAGTAGTAGTAGTAGTAGTAGTAGTAGTAGTAGTAGTAGTAGTAGTAGTAGTAGTAGTAGTAGTAGTAGTAATTTCATGCGATAACATCCTCTTTTTTTTTTTTTAAATGCAACCCCATGTCTCAGATTTTGCTGATTTTTTTCACCACTCAAATATTTAAAAAAAATATGTACATCCCCAAAATTTCATAATCTATTTTCAAACTGTTTTCAAGATATAACTATAATAACTTTTCCTTGAACCAACAAAAAACTGCTATTTAAAAAAATGATTTTAGTCTTTGTTTCTGTTCTGTGTGCAATTGAAAGCTGAAAATATGTACACTTACATATTTTGAGGCAAGATATCCAATAAAACAACTTATAACGTTTAAAAATAAACATAGCTAAAGTTATGACCTTTATTGCAATTTTACTGAGGCGAATTTAATTACAAAAACGCTGATGTAGATCGATTTTTTTTTTTTATTATTTAGATATTGTCCTGAATAGTTTAGTTAGAGTTATGGAAAAGAATTTAAGAGTGGTCTTTTCTTAAACAGAAAAAAAAACATGGTTAAATATATTAAATTTTTTACTTAAAAAAACAGGAATTATAAAAAATCAAAAGAAAAAAAGGTGGTAGTCATAAGTACACTCCTTAATACACAGAAGTTAATGTTTAATTTTCGGAAAATTTTTTCACTCACTTTGAGCATATCAGGACCATTTATTAAATTTTACTCAGGGATATTTTTAATCGGTCCCAAAAAGGACTCTGCATCCCTGATTGATCCCTGTTTGAAAGTCACAAAAAGATTACTTCTCTCTAGTTTTTACCAACATGTTTAGAGCTTCTGGATACCTAAGACCAGAGTCCTTTTGGAAATCTGCATCCCTGATTTTACTTTTTATGAACAAAGAAACTGTTCAAAATGAGTAAAATTTGAAAACAAAAAAAAAAATTTTTGTTTATTATTTTTCTAATTTCTGAGACCAGAACATGTCTTAAAAATTAGAAAATA